AATGATTTATAATCAAACCCTTCTTATGTGGTTTTAAAGTTTGGACAGGACTTCAGTCCTCATGTCTTCCAAACCCGTAAGACCTCCGTTCATCTTCGGAACACAAATTAAAATATTTTTGATGAAATCCGAGAGCTTTCTGACCCTGCATAGACAGCAAGGCCAAGGGTCCAGCACGATCAAGGCTCAGATACGTAGTAAGGACATCGTTAAAACAGCCCATGTGACATCATGGTTCAACCATAATTTTATGAAGCTACGAGAATACTTTATGTGTGCAAAGAAAACAAAAATAATGACTTTATTCAACAATTCTTCTTCTCCGTGTCACCCTGGCGCCATTTTGGAGAGTAGCACGACGCATGTGTGTGCTTTTCCTGCACGTAAACAATGCATTCGCTTGATGCTGCTGACTTAAAAGACGCACCTTGTTTACATTGAGAGGAGACCACGTGCATGCACCAGGGTGGTGCAGAGGAGAAGAAATGTTGAATAAAGTTGTTATTTTTGTTTTCTTTGTGCACAAAAAGTATTCTCGTAGCTTCATAAAATTAATATTGAACCACAGATGTCACGTGGGCTGTTTTAATTATGTCCTTACTGCATTTCTGCGCCTTGATCGTGGTAGGACCCTTGCTGATGAAGGGTCAGAGAGCTCTCGGATTTCATCAAAAAAATATCTTAATTTGTGTATGAAGATGAACGAAGGTCTTGTGGCTTTGGAACGACATGAGGGTGAGTATTTAATGACAGAATTTTCATTTTTGGGTGAACTATCCCTTGAAGCTCACAATAAATAAATTAAAAATAAATTAATAAATTATGCATTTGGTGGTGGCTGCTTTGTGCTTCTTCAAACTTTAACTCTGAGTATTATATTTGTTATATTAAGTATTATATTTGATCTTGCATTGGAAAACACTAAATATGTATTGTGTATTTTTAACAGTACTTTCTTGCTGTGTTTTTCAATGTAAGATCAAAGATCTATTTTATGGGACATGCAATACTCAGAGATAATTATAGGACCATTAAATAAGATAATTCCTACTTTGCATAAACACAGATCTGATGATTGCAAAAATATAATTTAGTTATGATACCATTATATTTGGTTATATATCTTGCTCTGCTTGTGCACAGGTTATCTCAAACACACAGCCTTGAGTGCTGTCGTTATCAAACTCAGCGGCGTGATTGTCACAACCTTCCTCGTCAGATGCCGGGTTCAGCGTAGGGACGGTGTTAAACATGATGAAACCAACGAGGATCACCACCAATGACACAATATACAGTCCTGAGAACTGAAGAAGAACAAATGAGGTGAATATGGACTGAAATACCTTATTCAACATTGATAGACCATTTGTAAAAAAAATTAAATACTGAAAGAAGTTCATCTAAATATAAAAACAGTTAAGCTTGTACTGCAAATTCAGTATATAAATGAATTACTAAGATCTTTTTTTTTTTTTTCAAAGTCAAAAGAGTAAGCTGAGGACGTAGGGGACTCAACAAACCTTCACACATTATAGAAATATAAAGCTCCATGTCACAATGACCCAGAATATCTGAGATAAGAATACAAGGACACAGATACTACTGCCACTTATGCTCATTCTGAATGTCAGGATTAAAGAGACCATCAGCAAAATACCTACATTCTTTTTTACTTTAATTTCTTGTTATTTCTACTCAGCATTTATTTTGATAATGAATTTTCACTCCATTTTTTTGTTTCGATTAATTAACATAAAAGTTGGTAAAAAAAAACTGCAGACTGTATTTTTATTATACTTTAATCAAATTTAAGGCACCAATTCATTTTTTAGTTGTTTGTTTTAATGGCTTGCAATTTTTTTATTGTATAATTTATTTTTCTTATATAGACGCTACCGTTCAAGAGTGTGAGGACAGTAAGATCTTTTGTTTTTGGAAAGAATTTAATACTTTTATTCAGCAAGCATCCATTAAATTGATTAAAAGTTAAAGACATTAATAATGTTTAAAAAAAGAAAGATTTCTATTTCAAACAAATCAGTTTTGAACATTATATTCATTAAAGAATCCTAAACAAAATGTGGTTTCCACAAAAATATTAAGCAGCACAGCTGTTTTTAACATCGATAATATTAAGAAATGTTTATTGCAAATCACCAAATTACAAATTTTGTAATATAAAATACATATGTCTCAATTAAGTATTTTACTCACAGTGTACTGGAACAAAAAGAGCCCACAAAACAGGCTGAAGAGGTCTCCAGTGAGTAAGGAAAGCTTGACTGCTGTGGCACTGCTCATCTTTATCACCACAGGCATGAAGCTATAGAAGCCGTATATGCAGAGCGCATATCCAGCCAGGATAAGAGATGAAGAGAAAGGAGAAAAATCAAACCTCAGATGATGACATTGACATAACGGAAAATGATTTTAATTTCGCATCGCCGTACTTTACCAATTTCCCATGTGAATTTTAGACACTTCGTCATGTTCGAGAATCCCTCTGTATAGGTGACAAAATAAAACAGTGCAGATGATGTGGCGCTGACGTTTAGGAACAGGTCTACTTTTTTGGTGATTTCTGAACAAATCTTACAGTTGTATTGCACTGATGATTGACTCGAAGAGGCCGACCATGCCTAGAAACACCACGCTGCTCAGATTCTTCACTGTGTATTCCTGGCACACATTAGAGATGGCATACAGAGTGGCGCTGACTAGAACCAAACCATCACCGTGGAGAATGTCACTTGCTGTTGTTGATACAGGAATGAATAATGGTCATGGTTTGACTTACATTACATTTTATGCTATATTTATATATATATATATATGTTCTGGAGAACCAGGTTGCTTCTCACAAGAACCCTGGTCTTGGCCAGCAAGGATATCCGCTCCCACCATGGCTCCCACCCCAGCCAGACATATATATACAGCTACATAGTGAATGATCCTATAGCGGGTCTTCAGGAAGAACCAGGACAAGATCATCAAAACCGGGACAATAAAGCCGTCCAGCAGCTGTAATGCAGGTCAGTTAGTCAAACAACAGCTTGCACTGAGAATTTAAATCAGGTTCTGATTTTGTCAATGTGTTACATGTGACACCTTTTGAAATGCAAATTCAGAACCTTCGCTACCATTCAAAAGTTTGGGGTCAGTAAATTTGAGTACCAAAATTCATACATTTTCATGAAATTTTCAATTCATTAAATTTTTAAATATATTTAAACAGTTATTTTAAATTAAAACAGTATTTCACAATATTATTTTTTACTGTATTTTTGATCAAATAAATGCAGCCTTGGTGAGCATAAGTTTGGGGTCAGTAAATTTGAGTACCAAAATTCATACATTTTCATGAAATTTTCAATTCATTACATTTTTAAATATATTTAAACAGTTATTTTAAATTAAAACAGTATTTCACAATATTAATTTTTACTGTATTTTTGATCAAATAAATGCAGCCTTGGTGAGCATAAAAGACTTCTTTCGGAAAACTTACCAACACCTCACTTTGGAGTGTAAGTGTAAGTGTATACCATCACATCCAGAAAAAGCTGTCACCTGCATGCTGGTTAATGTGGTGTACTGATATGCTTTCACCATTGCGTAATTTGCCTCCACATCTGTCAGTCCCAACAATAGATACTTCCACCATTTTGTCTTTAAAATCTGCAAAATATTGCCATCACCTACATTAAAAGAGAGGCAACCTGAATATTACATGCCAAAAAAGTGGATAACAGTAGCAGATCTTTAGTGATTGAACAAGAATTAAACACACTCAATGAAAGTATATAATTAAACTGCTGATGAACAAATACCTCTTCCGAAGATCAGTGCCACGGTGTAAGTGATGCCCAGAAGGGTGTAATTAATGAAGCTCTGCGGCATGGGTGTATTCAGATAGTAAACGGATGCCAGATACTGAGATGTTACAGCAGTCCCACAGATCAGTGCTAAGAGGCCTTGTACCATCAGCAAAGTTTTGAGTAGTTGCCTGTAATGAACATTGACTGGAATAACTGTGTACCATTTGATGAGGGTTTTCATACTGGTATGCACTATAAAGTGTAGTCCTCTGAATATAAAGTATAATGTATTTAAAATATATTATTATGATTAAACCTGACAGTGTTGCTATTGTTAACTGTTAACTATTAAAATAGTTCATGTCCTGATCAGTAATTGAAATAAAGCAGAAAAAATATATAAATATTAGATAAAAATGCAAACTTAAAAAACAACAACTTGAATTGCAATTAACTGAAAAAATAAATAAATAGAGTTTTAAAAAACTAATAAAAATGACCAAAGCACATAGCAACAATTGTAAACTTAACTTAAAAAACTAAAACTTAAACAAAAATTATTTTTAATAATTATTAAATAATTGTAATAATTATTTTATAGCAGAGAGTGTCCAGCTGCTGCTGAGGCATCTTGTGTTTCCTTTGTGAACTCATTCATGTCTAAAACAGAATCTCAGTGAGAAATAAGATCAATCATTTACAGTTTAGAAAACAAAGTACACAGCAGCAGGGATCTTGAATTCACAGTGAGCTAATCTTGAACTTTAAGCTATAGGTTGACAGAGAAATAGAACACAGTAGGCTAGTTCACATTTCAAACCATTTACCTGTTCAGACTCAAATGTATGCTGTAAATGTAAAACTGGTTAATTAGAGACATCAGACCCTTCTTTGCTCTCTTTTTTGTGCAGTTTTGATCTTCACCATTTTATAATAATAAATCTGCTCCTTCTGCCTTCACATCTCCGTCTCAGATTGTTCCCAGTTTCCATTTCAGAATCGGAAAACTATTATACTTGTCTAAAAATCTAATATTACTAAAATGCGTGAGTTGGTGATTTGCTATAGACCAATATTGTAAATAGACAAATATCATATTGATAAATACTATCAAAAGTGAGAATGATTAACCTCAACAGCTCTTAGTGTTTTGTGTTGAGTCTCCAGCGCCACAGATGGCGCTAATGAATCATATTTTTTCCTGAGCATCGACACCGGTAAAGAAGGATTCACGTCAGCACAGGGAAATAAAACGACTGTTGACTGTTCACTGTTCACAATGATGGAGGATGAAGAATTAGAGTTTGTGGAAGATTTGGAGGCGATATTACACCTTACTCCAGAAGTGCAGCTGGCCATTGAGCAGGTAACTGATGAATTGGCGTTGTGTCTGTTTTTAATGCAGTGTCAGAGAGAGCATACAAGCTGTCAGCTGTTGTCTTCTCCAGAGATGCTAATTGCCAATTTGATACATCTCCGTTAATGCTCACAGTTTCAGTCAAGTCTGGTTTATTTATCATGTTACGTATTAGTTTACGTGGATAGCTGTTGTCAAAACTGACTTCAGTTTTAAAACGCCAGACCAGCAAACGCAAATTTGTCATTGCTAGCTTGTTATTTGAAGGCAGACACCTTGACACATCCAGGGTTTTCTACAAGGGAGTACGTGTAAAAGATGAATAAAATAAAGAATTTGCACTGTAATGCAATTGAAGAATCGTAAAATGGACTACTGTTAGTCTGTTTACAACGTTAGTATAAAATGCTTAGAAAATTTAGCTTATGTTTGTACCGATGATCCAAGTGCTTGCTAATAGTCTAGAAATATTTAAAACCGTTTAAATGGTCGACATAGTTTTATCTCTAAAAGAGTTCTTGCGTAAACATTTATATACTTAAACTGACTATTGGTCCACGAATGCATCCTAAGCAGAAGTACTCTGAAATGTATTAGTTAAGAAGCAGATATGTATGGCAGCAGGCCAAAAAAAACCGTCCTGAGTAATGATTACCTAAGTACAGTGAGGAAAGAGTATGTGACTAAAGCATCAACATTGCACGTGCAGAATTGTTTAATAATATAATGGTTAGTCAAGCCATATTCATTCTTCTACTATCTCCACTGAGTCCAGCATAAGATCAGTAATACAGCTGGATCTCTTGATCTATTTGTTAAGGTGCCACCTGAAGTGTAGAAACGCTTTTTGGTCACTTCAGACTCACAGAACATCTTTAGATACCTTGTGGCCACCTGGTCCTCATTCAGCAGAGCCTGTTTTTCTGGTCTTGGCTATATCATATGTTATCTGCTCATTTGTTTTAGGTTTTCCCCAGCCAAGACCCTTTGGATCGAACCGACTTCAATGCTGTTGAATACATTAATACATTGTTTCCAACAGAACAGGTGAGTCTAAATTAGAATACTTGAGCAATGGTCAACATGATGAATGTATATCTTCATTCAAAACCTTTTTTGTGTATTTGCAGCATTCTACTGTTATATACTGTTAGCATTGATAATACAAATAATTAATAAATCTAATTTAACGCCTGTGTTTAGGTCACCCATATTGATGCAAGTGACCAATGATTGCTTTACATTACTGCAGAAATTCTCCTCTATTGAATGTTCATATTTTTTGCCACTAGAGGGAATTATGTTCTCCAAGCATGAAGAAGTGACTAATAAGATGTTGATTATTAATAAAAGAGATACAATTAAAAAGAAGAGCTGATGTATTTTAATAGAGATGTTTTCCCCCTACAAATCTTGATTGTTATTATTATTTTTTTTTTTTTTTGTAGTCTTTGGCGAATATAGATGAAGTGGTGAATAACATTCGACTTAAAATCAGGTGAGTTTTTAATATTTAGACCCTGACATGGTCTGCATTCATATATGGAGGTTCTTTAGGTTTTCAGTATTTCAATTGGTATTGTAAATAATTCTTTTAATCAGACGGTTGGATGACAACATCAGGACAGTAGTGAGAGGACAGACTAATGTGGGGCAAGATGGCAGACAGGTGAGTCCTTTGGTTACACATTCAACAGTCATCAACATTATGCCACATGGGGTTCTAGGCTAATTGGGGTTCAGAGTAATTTTTTTATGACTTTCTGGTCACACATCATTTTAAGGTTCAATTCTCACTATTAACAAACTTTTGTCTCAAACTCCTAATTTGCTGGTTATTAATAGTTAGTAAGCTAGTTGTTAAGTTTAGGTATTGGGTAGGATTAGGAATGTAGAATATGGTCATGTAGAATATGTGCTTTATAAGTACTAATAAACAGCCAATATATTAATAATAGGCATGCTGATAAGCAACTAGTTTATAGTGAGAATTGGTCCCTATAATAAAGTGTTACCGACTCTCTTTCTTCTGTGGAACACAAAAGAAGATATTTTGGAGGATATTTCAACTGTTTTTGTTCATACAATGAAGGTCAAACAATTGGTCTCCACTGACTTTCATTGTGTGGACAAAAAGACCTACATTTTTAAAATACATTCTATTACACTGCACAGAAGAAAGAAAGTCATACAGGTTTGGAATAACATAAGGATGAATAAACAGTGATAGAGTTTTCAATTTTGGGCAAACTGTATGTGTTTTTGTACTCTGTTATCAAATCATTGTAGTGGTTAAAGCAGCTTATGAATGTTCCTCGTGGTGAACCACTCTGTCCACTTCACAACGGCTCTCGACACCATGGTTGTCTTGTGCATCTCTTCCATCTCACATCTCTGGAAGTGACCAAGGCTCTTCAGAGTCCCATGTGCTGTCTCTTCCTGGAAAGGAAGGCGCACTTTACTCTGAATTTCCCTGTTCTCAGCAGCATTTCCATTCCACATTGTGGTTTAGTGTCCTGCTATTTCTTGGACCAGGCTGGAAATGTTGATTCAACACAGATCCGGCTGAGGTGAAATGCGACCCCTTTATTGAGATGTAGAAAGGCAGCGTGGTTTAGACCTGCGAGTGGGTTCTGCTGTTCTTGAATAACCCAGCATGCACCGCTTGTGGAAATTGGTTGTGTCTGAAATGGATCGCCGTTAACGCTGGGCCACGAGTCTCACGGCCCGTAACCTTCGGAGTTGTTTCCACAGAGCAGAGGAAAAATCCTTTCAGCAGATGGAATGGCGGGGAAGTGTGGATTACACATGTAGCTTGAGGCTGGGAGTGATGGTGGAGACAGAGAGAGAGGACTGGAAAGACCCGCTGCAGCTTCTTTTTTCTTTTTTGTTTAGTCTGTGCAGTATTTATCAGTGAGATGGAGACGTCCGTGTCTGGAACGGGATCCCAGGGGTCTGCTTGATGACATTTCTAGCTGTGTGGAGGAGTCAAGTCAAGTCAAGTCAAGTCTGCTTTATTGTCAATTCTTCCACATGTACAGCACATACACACAGAGAATTGAAATTGCGTTACTCTCAGACCCTTGGTGCATACAGATAACACTAACAGTAGAACATAAATACAGATATACAGATTAAATATAAAATACAACTATACAAATAAGGTAAAATGTAAAAAAAGAAAATATATTAAAAAAAATAAGTGGCTTAAGCTGTTTGGTTTTGTAAAATGAATTAAAAAGAAAGGGAGCTCTGTTGGAAATTGTTGAAACTTTGAAATGTTGCTAGTACAACCCATTGTCTGCTCTCTAGACATTTATATTTAGAGAACATATTGACGTATTATGTTCCCTTCGATTTATTCCTTTACATTTTTTTGCTTAGTATTAAAATCTTAAATTTACCTTCATAAAACCTACTGAAACGCAGGTTTTAATTTTTTAGTTTTGTTTGGTCATTTCTAAGTAGTAGTTTTTTAATGTCTAAGTAGTGTTAATTAATTTTATTTCAGCTTTAATTTGAGTTATTTTAGTGCATCTAGTAAAGTTAAGCAAAATGAAAATGAGTATCTAGACAACTAGCTGAAATAATTAGAATTTTGAAAAATATTTCAAGTTTATGTTTATTTTATTTCAAGTAATGTTTTTTTATGGTTTTCTCTGATGTGGATTTAGTATAATAATTAGCTGGTCACCACACTTTGTTCTGTTTACTAGGAAAAAATATATTTGGTGTCTTTGCCCAGCTTTTCTAAACAACATTTTTTGTGGTTCTTATCAGAACATTTACAGTGTGTGGAAAGTTCTATTCTAGACTATTGTTAACTGACAACAACGTATTTGGAAATATTTTTTGAATTGGAAAAGCAGTTGACAATGTGGGGAAACTTGTTAGATGTGTGATATCATTCATATAGGAAAGTCAACAGTGGGCCAAAGCATTTGGTGCAAATGAATTGAGGACAACCCAAGCTTTGCCTTCCACTTTGTCTCACGCAGGGTTTGAGCTAATATACATTATATTCCTCAATGCTGCAGAAAGTTCCATATAAAAAGTTTGCCATGTTGTTGTTCCCAGATGGAGCATTCAGATGAGAGGTTTATAGCTGTCAGGCAGCCAGTTGGGATCAGGATGTTTCATGTATTTTTTGGCATCTGGAGCTGCTTATTAGGAATGCCGAGAAGGAGCCTCCCCAAGAATGTAGTATAAATATTTAATCTAAACACAGGATGGAAAGTTTACTGCATGTGTGATTTTCTATCAGTCGTTATAGACCGATCCCTGTCTGTCCCTTTGGAGTTGTTTTAGTCATTTCTTAAAATAAATAAATAAAAAATAACCCAACACTTGTTTTATTGATTGAATGCCTAGGTTTTAACCCTCTATTGCAAACATGACAAAAGCAGAGTGGAGTAATAAAGTTGACTTTAATAATGGATAATATAAAAAACATGATAGCTGCAACAGCTACACACCTGTTCAAAAGTTTTTTTAAAAATGTTTTTGAAAGAAGTCTTTTATCATTTGATCAAAATACAGTATAACAGTATTGTGAAAAATTATTGCAATTTGAAATTGTTTTCTATTTTAATATATTTAAAATGTAATGTATTCCTCTAATGGAAAAGCTGAATTTTCAGAAGCCATTACTCCAGTCTTCAGTGTAACAAGATTCTTCAGAAGTCATTCTAATATGTGATTCTAGGCAATATTTAAGCAGTTCCTTCTAATAATATTATATATAATAATATTTCTATAATAATATTTATAACTTCAAATGTTTTAATTTGAAAGTTACTCACAAACAAATGTGAATCATAGTTTGATGTGTTAAATTTGAGGGCAGTTCTGCAAAACAACAATGTGTGTCCTCCACATGGCAGAAAAAGTTTTTAAAATTACCATATCCATTAAAATAGCGGTAGCACTTTAGTATAGGGACCAGTTCTCACTATTAGCTAGTTGCTTAGTAGCATGCCTATTATTAACATATTGGCTGTTTATTAGTACTTATAAAGCACATATTCTACATGACCATATTCTACATCCCTAATCCTACCCAATACCTAAACTTAACAACTACCTTACTAACTATTAATAACCAGCAAATTAGGAGTTTACTGAGGCAAAAGCCGTAGTTAATGGTTTGTTAATAGTGAGAATTGGACCTTTAAATAAAGTGTGACCAAAATAGCCAATTTATCATTACCCAACATGCTTAATATCTTGCAAAACAATGAAAATTGTAGCTCTGAGATAACACTGTACAATGGAGGGTTAAAGCCAGGCGCTTTTCTTCATAATATTTTCAGCATTTTAGGAAATAATTACATACAGGATAATTACCAATAGTGTATGTGTGGAATGCTGTACATGATTGACGACATAATCACTGAGGAAATAATCACACAGTCTCATTCCTGCCTGTCAGCATCTATTAAACTGTCCTAATGACCAACATGTTTCTTTCTCAACACTTCTACATATTCTTCGGTCGAGTCACAACACTACAGGGAAATGAAGCAGGCATCCCAGCATCCGTGTCGTCCTATAGTCTGTGGCCTGCCTAAACCATCTGGGGGGGAAAACATCCTGAAACTGCAAATAGAGTCCACATGCGAAGCAGCTGCTGTCCTTCCTGCCAGATCCAAATAAACCTCTTTCTCATTCTCCTGATCAGCAGTATAAGAAGGAAACCCAGGGACTGTCCTCCAACAAGCAGTCCATCTTTCTAACCTTCAGAAATCAGTTCTGGATGCACTACAACAACGTGGCCCCTTTAAACTAGATGCATCCCAGTTAACATCTGGGCTCTAGTTTTGCTTCTTATTCTGAGCTGTTAGTCAACACTGCAATTTGAAGAATCCTTTCATAGAAAGGAGGATGCATTGCTGTTAACACAGTGTGTGTGTGTGGCTCAAAGCATCTGTGTTTTTGAGGAGGCTTGTAAAAGTGGTAAATTCCAGGGGGCAGCTGGTGCCGGCTGTTAGCATTCCATTTGCCTGTGAAGGAGCGAGGCAAAAGACACGGCCAAACTCTCTCTGCTCTCAGCCCAGGCACGTCTCTCTAAATACACTGAGTCCAAACACTGGCCGTGTGGCTGCAGTGGGGGGCCGTGACTGTGCATTCGAGTGGCCAGTAAGTTCAGATCCCATCAGGGCCGAGCCAGGAGCCTTGTGATGTGGTGGCATCAGGTGGGGCAACATGTGGAAGGGCCAAAATTGCAGCTGCTGTAGCCTAGGCCTGCAAGAATGTCAAGTAAAAACTGGTTTCATCAGGCCGTGCGGTTTGTTCCCCACCCTGGTGAAGTGCGGAGATCTTCCTGCTAAAAAGAATAAAGTGGCTGGAAGGTCAGGAGGCCAGGCAGGAAGCATGTTCATTAAAACATCATTCAGCCTGTATTTTCATTTAAAATATGAGTCCATTATTAATTGCTTTTGATGTGGCGGGAAAGATTTAGATTGAGTGTCTGTTTTTCGAATCGCATAGTTTGAAAGCGATGAAACCAGCCCAACACAAACTCAACTCAAGCCAGTGAACTTCAGGTTGCTGTTTCACGGAAAATGGCGAACTGACAGCGAGCTGTAAGAAAATGCTACCGCGGTGCTGTATGGGTCATCTTAGATCTTTTGTCTTCTCTTCCAGGCGCTGGAGGAGGCCCAGAAAGCCATCCAGCAACTCTTTGGCAAAATCAAAGACATCAAAGACAAAGCGGAGAAATCGGAGCAAATGGTGAGTAAAAATAAGCTCTCCAGACAGGAACCTAGTCATTTAAGGCCTGAAAGTCGACCCAGAGTAAATAGCCATTCACCACCCACCCACCCCAACAGGCTGGGTAAACGAGGCACAAGAAACTGTGACATCCTGTGGTTTTTGTCCACAGCGCTCTTTTTGAGCCCAAGGTAATGCACTGGCCATCTGTGAATGTAATGCAGTGCAGATCAGAGGAAGGGCAAGGGGAGGAAGGCAGGAGAACAATAGCAAAGCTCTATGCCTGTGTCTTCAATATGGTGAAGCGATATAAAGAAGGAATGCATGATATGTTGGTACCATATAGGTTATTGGCTGATATTAAAATGTTTTTAGTATTGAATAAATATTAATAATAAATAGGTTTTCGTATTGAATTAATAGCAATTGACGTGCATGTTTATTTCCTCTAGTTTCACATTTAGATTGCCTTTGCCAACATGTATAATAACGTTCTTGACAAGTATAATCTTTAGCAAATCTCAAAATGAATCTCCATTTTACACTGGATATTACTGTGACGCTTACATTAACTTGTAACATTTAAAATAGTTGAAATGGTTTCAAATGTTTTTAAGTGCTTTATGTTTTATAGAATCTTTAATATTGGCCATTTATTAGTAATTTATAATGAAATTATAATATAATAATACACTGTTCAAAAGTTTGGGGCTCAGTATGACATTTAAAAAAAAAAAAAAAAAACTTTTATTAAGCAAGGATGCATTAAATTGATCAAAAAGACCATAAATACATTTAAATGTTACAAAAGTTTTCAGTTTCAAATTAATGCTTTCTTTTGAACCTTACATTCTTCATAGACTCCATAAATATATTTATTGATCAGCACAAATGTTTTCAACATTGATAGTAATAAGAAATGTTTCTTGAGCATGAAATCAGCATATTAAAAAGATTTCTGAAGGATAATGTGACTGGAGTAATGGCTGCTAAAAAATTCAGCTTTGACATCACAGGAATAAATGACATTTTAAAATATATTAAAATAGAAAACAGTGATTTTAAATTTAAATTTAACAATAATAATTGCAGCCTTGGTAAGCATGAGAGTCTTTTTTTTTTTTCATAAAAATTAAAAACCTTATCAATCCCATATATTTGATCGGTATTATGTAAAATAGCTTAATATCATATAATAAATACAATCATAATATAATAAGTATCAGCCAAAATGTAAATATCTGTGTATCTCTAATGTATCTAAAATTGTGCTTCAGGTGAAAGAGATCACGCGGGACATCAAGCAGTTGGACCACGCAAAGCGTCACCTGACCACCTCTATAACCACCCTCAATCACCTGCACATGCTGGCTGGCGGTGTGGACTCCCTTGAGTATGTTTATTCAAGATACCTTCTCCCATGATCAGTCCATTTGCTCAGTGTGCTAAAAGCTTGTCTCATTGCACCAGAGCTATGACTCGAAAAAGGCAGTATGGGGAGGTGGCCAATCTCCTTCAGGGTGTAGTCAACGTCCTCGAGCACTTCCAGAAGTACATGGGCATCCCCCAGATACGCCAGCTCTCAGAGAGGTAAGGACACAAGCCTCACTCACACACTGTTTATTTGACTAAATCATGGTGCTGAGAGTCTAGATCCTGTTTATGTTTACTGAAGATGCAGCATGGGAAGGAAATCTGCTTCACAGTGTCTCATTATTTACTTTTTTCCCCCAGCTCTTTGTTTTGGGCCTTTCCCAGAGGAGGTGCTCTCTCTGGTTTGGGTGGTGCAGTCCATGTCCCCTACAGGCTTGGAGACTAGGCCTTTTGTTAGGAAAGAAACAGGGTTCCGGTCTCTACGATTCTGCACTTCCCTTTGCTTGTTTATGTTGGATGCTCTGATAAAGCTGTTTTTTCATAAGCAGATGGCAAGGAGGGGTGTGTTTGATGTGGAAAAACGATTCCCCTGATTGTTCCAGGTTCTAAATGTTTCTCTGGAAAACATGTATCCGCGGTTCCTTTTCAGTGCCCCTGTAGTCAAGTTTACCCCTTTGTTTCATTAGCCCTCTCACAGATGGACCTCATATGTTAAACACCGTCCTTGAGTGATGATGAGAGTTTGTTTGGTTGAGCATGCATTTATACGTCAAGCGAATCCAGTGTTTTGTTAAAACAGCATTTAAGTTTGCCAAAGTACATCAGTGGTTTCTGACCGCTGCGTGACTTGTTTTTTTTCTCGTCTGTTTCTTTTGTGTTGTAGAAAGAGATTATATTTGATGAGGGTGGGGATTGTGCCTAGGAATTTACAATGTAAATAATATTAGGCCCCCTTTGGTGATCAGATGAACTGATTTTAGCCATGTTGTTTTGAACTACACAAGCTTACCACATATGAAGTCTTGAGGAAATTCTTGTGATGTCTAATTGGATTTTTGTAATGCTTATTATTAGTGCATGTCAAATATGGAGAAACTGAGATGCTTTCGTTCTGAGCCCGACTGTCCCTAAATGGAGATGTCTGGTTGGTTTTGAGGTGTGGCAGAGATGGTTCGATCAGGGGCGGCAGCTGAGGGATGTGCTGCGGTTCAGACAGTGTCGAGGTCTTAATGGAGCTGGTGAGAGAGCAAATTGGCAGCCATGTGCCACGTTGAAGACTAGTGTCTGACTGGCAAGCGCATGTGTCTCCATCTATCTCTTTCGCTCGCTCTCTCTCTAAGTATCTTGTTTATTTTGGATGGCACTTGTGTTGAGTCTGCTTGTGCCAGCAAATAATCCAGAAATGAAAAGAGCATCTTCTAATCATCAAGTCGTGGTTCATCCAAACCCTTTTGATGGGATTGGGCTTGCTTTACACTGCCTCTTAGATCTCTGAGACTTTGGTCCAAAGTACAATTTGGCCTTATTAGTTAATACAATTTGAATTTGCATCTGTTTTCTTACAAGTAGCTGTTATTTCTGTCTCTGTTCCATTTATTTTCTCAGGGACAGTTGTTCTAAGAGCTGCCATCATTTAAAGAGATCTAGGTAGTAGGCTAGCTATTCCCTATAGAGACTGGTACATAGGGATAGACCATGAGTGCTGGTATTTAGTATTTAGTTGAATGTAAAAAGATGTAGTAAATATACCAGTTTTTCTACAGTACATGCTGGGCAAGTAAAGCTTTGTAGTGACGTGACTACACAAGGTCAGCTGGCATGTCTTGGTCAAATTGCCTGTTTTGATTAAGTAAACGCAGTTGGTTTGTGAATGTAATCATGCAAATCAAAATGTTTCTCAAAATATGGGATCTGTGCATTAGGCCTTACAGTGTGAATGTAGTAGGCCTGGCCATTGTCATTAATATTAATCAAACAATATTTACAAGAAAAGGAGAAAGCTGGCCTTAATTTATTCTATTCATTGCTCAGTCTTAATCTTCATTTCTCAGTCTCATTGTGAATGACTGTTTACATAAATGCTTACTTGGGAAAAACATATTTAGAAATGAAATTTGTGAGTTTTTTTATATTTAACTTTTTAATTTAGTTAGTGTGTTCAGTAGTAGCCTATATATATATATATATATATGTTCATACAGAGTATATTTGTTCTAATGGAATTGGTATGAAGTATTGTAAAATTTCACTTGTACTGCTCTAGATTCCAACATTTTGGTATCATGAAATTATTGCTTTTAAAACTCATTGGACACCAGGGAATCCTGAGACCACCAGGTGTCTTGTAAACACTCACCCATCTGTTTCGCCTCTCCTCAGAGTTAAAGCTGCACAGAGCGAGCTTGGCACGCAGATACTGGCCGACTTCGAAGAGGCTTTTCCTGCCCAGGGGTCAAAGGTACAGATGCAGTGCTCTGATGGAAAAAGTCTCTGTATCATTCCTGTGATGCATTTAATTTGATATTTACAGAAATCTGGAGGTCCTAGCATTGTTCTCAGAGATGCCTGCTTGGTGGCGAATGTCCTGGATCCTCGGATTAAGCAGGAGATCATCAAAAAGTTCATCAGGCAGCACCTTTCAGAATACTTAGTGCTCTTCCAAGAAAACCAGGATGTAAGTGAAACCTTGTGTGTCCTGTGCATGCTGAAATTGTGCTATACTATCTGACTTACGGTCTGTGTTCTGTTTGTCCTGAGTACAGGTGGCGTGGCTCGATAAGATAGATCGGCGCTATGCGTGGATCAAGCGTCAGCTTGTGGACTATGAAGAGAAGTATGGGCGAATGTTCCCGGAGGAGTGGTGCATGACCGAACGCATCTCTGTAGAGTTCTGTCATATCACCAGGTACTGATTAAACACCTCACATTAATGCTGCATTCACATAATGTTGGTTGTTCATAAGTTCTTGACCTGTGATAACCGTTGATGTCATTAGTCAGATTTCCATCCACATTTTTATGCAAATATTGAAAGATAGAATGTTGGCTATAAATAAGATATTCATTATTCATATTTATTCATGTTTATTCAGATTTTTCATGTAAAAAATTCACAACTTGGATATAAAAATAACTAGAATTGATCTTCTAATTACATTCTATGAAAGCTTTGATTTATGTGATGTTGAATAAAAACATCCAAAATGTTTTTTTAACTAAAGATAGTTACACTTCTGTTCAACTTTGAGTGCAGTAAGATTTTTTTGTCTGAAAGAAATTTATACTATAATAATAGTAATAATATTTCAGTATTTCAGTAATACAATATTACTGTTTTTACTGGAGTTTTGCTGGAATAAATGCATCCTTGGTTAGTATAAGAGACTTCTTTTAAAAACATTTAAAATTACTATATCTGTGTACATTATATATTGTAATTGTATTTTATTATTATTACTTTTATATACTTAATCCTCTCATATGTATTGAATGTATTTTTTTTGCGTTTTACCTTTTTTTGTCATGTCTTATCTCATTGCCTCAATAAATAAAAAAAATAAAATAAAATAATAATTCTAAATTTTACCCGGCCCCAAACTTTTGAAGAGAAGTGTCTATTGCTAGCTCTACATTTAAAAACTTTCCTCTAATTTTTCTGTTTTTCAAAGTTTAAAAAAAAGCGAATACTGAGTTGTAGCATTTATAGTGATTATGTATTTTGCTGTCTTCAATAACAAAGCCAGACATGGATACATTTTGGCGTAATGAGTGCTGCCATAGAAACAAATTATTTTTGAGTCTGTAGACATGAGCAGTTCTGAGTAGAGTTGTAATTAAGGTAATTCTGACATGATGTGAGTGTAGCATAAATCCTCATTATCTCCATTACCCCATAGAGAAAATACACCTGGGGCTTACATGTGCATTTAGTGGTTAGCTTGAAAGACTAGACATTAGGCAGCACACAAATATGGCATGATTTAGCAAAAGACATAATTGTGCGCAGTATGACATGAATGATTAGATGGAAAGGAACTGGTTACATGTCTGGGATTTCAGTAGTGGTATTGACAGTCTAAAGTAGGCTATGTGTGTGTATGTGTGTTGTCTATAGTCAAATTCCTCTCAAGAGAGTCATTACAAAACCCTCAGTGCCTGGAAAGAACGTTTGAGGTCCGCTGTAATCCCATCTAATATATTTATTTTTTTTGACAAAGCTTTATGTAAGAATGTATACACCACACCACCATCTTCTTCTCCCTCCGTAGGCTTATTTTCTTCTCACAAAACGATTATTTTTCAAGCTGACAGTAACTGGATCTTGTCTTTTGAATACAACACTGATCCACTGTGGTTTCTTTGAACAGCCAAACCAGGCATCTGCACACACTGGCCTATAAAAGCATTGACCTGAAGACTTAGTCTACTTGGCACATTAGGTTTCGCTCACAACCTTGTCTGTGTCTGTGTTTCGTTTGCTCATCAGAACCGAGCTGGCCAAGCTGATGCGAACCCGTGCCAGGGAGATCGAGGTCAAGCTTTTGCTCTTCGCTATTCAGAGGACCACCAATTTCGAGGGACTGCTGGCTAAGCGCTTCTCGGGCTGCACCTTAAACGACGGGCCTGGGGTGAGGCCATGCTTGCCTGTTTGCAGGCGAACACAAAAGGATTTTACTGGGACGTGAACATGCTGGTAATCTGGCTCTTGTGTGATGTTTGTCTATGTTTCCTTTGCTTTCTCAGCAGAAAAAACCTGAGACGCCTTTAGAACCAACAAACCCCTTTTTAGAAGACGAGGACAACGTATCAGAAAAGGATGAAGATTTGGATAGAGTGAGGCTGCTTATCTTTATTTGCACTCTGTTATGCAGGAATGACCACATTTGAACCATATGCAGTCTACTCCACCCATCTTCTGATAGAAACTGATACCGCATTTGGTACCATTCCAACATGCAATTTACATTTCTTTCTAATGTAGTTTGATTTGACTCACATCTGAACTATGGCCCGGATCAGGCGCATATTCTCTGGAATTGACGTGTTATGAAAGCATTCAAGGCATCGTATGTTTACAAGTCTTTATTTGCCGTCTATTTATCAAACTCTTAACGTATAGTTTAATATAACAGCTTGACTTTGGCTCAGTTATTTCATACTTATTTCCTTTTATCTTCAAATTGGCAATGATGTTCTCAGTATCAGGTGTTGTAAGAACAGTTCTGATGAATTGGGTTCCTCAGAAGTTCACCGTTATCACTGTGGTGTTTCACAATAGAATTTCCTTCCACTTTCTCCATTACACTGGTGCCACTGTAGCACATGTTAGGGTTATTATCGTTAAGTAAAACTAAAACCAGAAAAAGCATTTTCATTACTTGAAATAAAGTAAACATAAATGGAAATAAAATAAAATAAAAAAAGTACATAAATATATACTTAAACCCACTTTATTTTATCTGGCTGCAAAGGCAACATTTCCCATTTTCATTCAGTTTATAAAAATAAACAAAAAATATACATACATTAGAAAAACAGTTATAAAATTATTTTTTTCATCTTATTTTATCAAACATATTTTTAGTATTTTCTGTAATCTTATATAATTTTTTGTTTAACATTAAGTAAATAAACTAAAAGTAATAAATACAAGTTACAACACTACAACTAATAAAAATTTTATTTTAATTTTTTTTATCAGTTATTTTTTTATACTTATTTTATTTAATCTAGTTGCCAAGGTAGCGCTTCTCATTTTGTTTGTTTAACTTGAAGTACTAAAATAACTAAAACTATGCAAAACTAAAACTGATAAATACATATAAATGTATTAATTAAATGTCTATATATGAAACTATATTTAAACAAAGCAAAACAACATTTAATAAAAACAACAAAATGATTTTAAAATTAAACAATATTTAAATAAAATTAAACTATTAAAAAATATTAATTAATTAATTAATTTAATGTAATAAATAAAAAATAAATGATACTAAAATAACAAAAACACACTTCTTCAAAAATTCCTGATTAAGAAATATTTTGCTGTTTACAGCCAAAGAAGCCGAAGGCTCCAGACAACCCCTTCCACGGCATTGTGTCCAAGTGCTTTGAGCCTCATCTCTACGTTTACATCGAGTCGCAGGATAAGTGAGTGGAATGTCCTTTAACATTGTGCACAATCATATCAAATGAGTCACACAATAAGAAGTCCATTCATTTCAGGGTAATTTAAGGGTCCTCCTCACCAACCCCCATTTTTGATGCACTTGGTTTGTGATCTTCCCTTTCTTGTACTCCCTTTTTTAGTAGTTCCCTTGTCTGACTCTCTCCGCCTCACCACTGAGGAGAAAATGGTTCCCATTAGCCGTTAACCACACATGCTGCAGACAGCCTGAAAACAGCAGCTGATTTCTTTCTTTACTTGTCTTTTCTCGTTCTTTACCTCTCGTTTTGCTGCTTACCCTCTCTCTAAACCCACGAGGCTCCCAAGCAAAGGGCTTCTTGTACAGGCCCTTCTCTGGCCCATGTAACACTCTGTTGGCACTGCCTAAAGCAGAATGACCTTTCTGTTAACAATGGCTTGCATTATACTAGTTCACACTGACCTGCCTGGCATGAGAGTGTCCACATTCTTCTCTCGGGGTTAGCATCTATCTGATTACTCAGTGCTGAGAGAGATGGCCTATTTACTGACCTGACAATACATTGCTGTTCAAAGCAAGTTTAACACATTGAGATTTCAGTCATAGTTAGATGTGGCGTTTGCTTTGACTTTGTTTTTTAAATATTTTTGCAAATTTGACAATGCTAATTTGACACAAAATACAAACAGTTACCAAGTTTTTATTTTATTTTATTTTTTGAAATTTTTTTATTTAGTAGTTTTTCCAACAAAAACAGTGTCCTTCAAAATTGAACCCCCCCCCCAAGAACTTTGCAGATATTTATTTTATTTGATTATTTTGTATTTTATTTTATTTATTTATTTTTATTGTATTTTTTATTATTATTTTTTTTTTCATTTTATTTCCCCCAAAAGGTCAACCTTGCAAATTAGTTTTAATGTTGAAACTAAGCAGTACTGAACACATTCAAAACATCTAGAACTTAACCCATCCAGGTGTCTTTGATAATAAAATAAATAAATACATGACCACAGATGTAAAAATTAATTAATAAAAATAAAAAAATAAAATGACAAATTAAAATATTAGTATATATTTTTTACGTTCTGTATAATGTAATTTTTTTTTTTTTGCCATGTTTAAATCCATTTCACAGAATTATGCAGATTTTACCTCTAATAGTGCAGGAAATGCGGCTAAAGTCTGCACATTCCATCTAGGCCTACTATAATTTATCCTTTTGTTTTCTGTCTTAGAAATCTTGGCGAGCTGATCGACCGTTTTGTTGCTGATTTCCGGGCACAGGGTCCCCCTAAATCAGGTACAGATGAGGGAGGCGCTGTGCTCCCCAGCTGTGCAGATCTCTTCGTGTACTACAAGAAGTGTATGGTCCAGTGCTCACAATTGAGCACCGGAGAGCCCATGATTGCTCTGACCACAATCTTCCAGAAGTATCTGCGCGAGTATGCCTGGAAGATCCTCTCTGGGAACCTACCAAAGTGAGTCGAGCCACCTGACTGGTTCTTTTTTCTGTGTTTCTCCCTTTTTGATAGTTAAAGTTTAATCCTCCTAGTCACTGGGGCTTTTATTTGGGGTGTTATGCTGTGGTGATGCTGGAAAGGAGAGCGAGTGGTCGTCTCTGTGTGGTCGCATTTGTGGGGTTTCTCTCTGCCGCTCTTCAAAGGAAGAAAAATCCCCACCCGTCGCCTTGTGTGGTTTACCCTGTATTGTCTTTGGGAGTTTCAAAAAAGATCTTTGTTTTGGAGAAGCTGTCTTGTGGTTTCCATGCAGTCTTTCTTGTGTTTCTTTTAGTGGGAGGGCCGGAGGGTTGAGTTAGGGTGCTTTGGTAACTATGTTTGTGCATGTTTGCATGCAGGACCAGCACCAATAGTGGTGGTCTAACCATCAGCAGCCTGCTGAAGGAGAAAGAGGGATCAGAAGTGGCCAAGTTCACAATGGAAGAGTTGTGTCTTATTTGCAGCATCTTAAGCACAGCTGAATACTGCCTGGCTACCACACAGCAGGTCACCCACCACACATGCTTCATTCACATGGTACAAATGAATATATATTTTTTTTAATGATGCAAATGTCCTATATCATGTCCACAGCTGGAGGAGAAGCTCAAGGAGAAGGTGGACAAGACCCTAATGGAGAGAATCAACTTAACTGGGGAGATGGACACCTTTAGCACGTAAATACGTCACACTAAGTGACCCTCAATGCTAAGTAAAAACATATTTGCCAAAGGAAATTAATTACTAGTAGTTGAATCTCTCTGTTTGGCAGGGTTATCTCAAACAGTATCCAGCTCTTGGTTCAGGACCTGGATGCTGCATGTGATCCAGCCCTCACAGCTATGAGCAAGGTACTATATCAGAACCAAAGAAGTTATCAGACGATATTAAAGTTTTTATAGTTTCATTTATCATACCTGCTGATACTGGATATTTAATTCTAATTTCCCGGATTTTTTAGTTTTAAATCACATTTGCTTTTATCTAAAACTCACTTCAAGTTAATCTATAAAAACACTAATAATTTAATAACACTGTTGAATGTAATCTTTAGCAAATCTCAAAATGATTATCCATTTCCATATTCTACATTAGAATGTTGTGATGCCTAAATGATTTGAAAATAAAAGAGACAAAACAATACAAATAATTTTGATATCGGCTGTTTATCAGTTATCGGCCATAACATGAAAATAATTTGGCTTATCAGTATCAGGCAGAATTTTTTGTCATTTATTTTTATATTTTCAGCTTTTATTTTAATTTCAGCTTAAGTTTCAGTAATTTTGCTATGTGCTTTTCTCATTTTTATTAGTTTTTTATGATTCTGTTTAGCCTTAATTTTAATTTTAATTTTAATTTACAGGTACGTTTAATAATTTTAGTGCGTCAATATAATTATTATTATTTTTTTCTTATTCTAGTTTCCGGGGTTTTCATTTTGCTTTTCACATAATATTTATATTTTTTTATTTCAACTTATTTCAGTTTTTAATAGTTTTAGTTTTAGTTCGCAGTAACGTTTGAGAGTGTCTTCTAGCCTTGAAGTTGACTTTGTGAATGTTTGTACAGATGCCGTGGCAGAGTGTGGAACATGTGGGAGATCAAAGCCCGTATGTGACCTCTGTAATCATGCACATCAAACAAAATGTGCCCATCATTAGAGACAACCTGGCCTCCACCCGGAAATACTTCACCCAGTTCTGCATTAAGTTCACCAAGTTAGTAATGCAGCCACTCACTAATCAGTGCAACACAAGCTCTTTCATAACACAGCGTTTGCTAAACTCCTACTGTCTGTTTTACTTTTTATCCATTCGTTTCAGCTCCTTCATTCCAAAGTTCATCAACCACCTGTTTAGGTGTAAGCCAATCAGCATGGTTGGAGCAGAGCAGGTAGGTGGGAGATTCAGACACTGGGATGTTTGGGTTTCATGGACCTTCAGAACACATGACCTTATTTTCTTTCTTCTGAACAGTTACTTCTGGATACACATTCCCTCAAGACCGTTCTTCTAGACCTCCCTTCCATTGGCTCTCAGGTGGTCCGTAAAGCCCCGGCCAGCTACACCAAAATAGTGGTTAAAGGAATGACTCGAGCGGAGATGATCCTCAAGGTGGGAAGGTGGCATTCACGGCCATTAAACATTTGAGAATTCGCTCACCCGATTCTGTTCGCGATTCTGATTCTGCACCCGATCAGCTGCTCATAAAGCTCTGCATGGTACAGCACTCGGTTGGAGTTATTTACTAAGCTGTGTGCGTCTGGTTTAATGAGCTCTCTCTGAGCGACAGGAAGTGCTCACATGCCTTGGCTTTCCTGCCTGCAGCCTTTAGCCATCCACAGTTTAAAAATCCTCACTCATACAGTAGATCTATATTTGCATATAGACTTGTAACATACAGCTGGTTCAGACTTGTCCACTTTTTTCTAATTGAAGTTTTTTTTCTCTCACTACAAATTAGATTAAAAAGCTATAATATTAAGATATAAATGTTGATTTGAAATTTAATTTGACATGATCACAACTAAGTGTTTGTTGTCCCTCTTTTTGCTTTATTGACAGCAGCATTCAAACTGCATAAAATGTTTTTGCGATTTGTCTGTTCAGACCATTGCGGGAAAAAAGGCAGATGGGCTTAATGAAAATGCAATTTCACATTCTGACAGTAGGTGGCGCTAAAGCAGGAAAACCCTGGTTACCCTGGTACACAAAACGCTGTGCACCTTTCTGTTTTTGACACCTGCGTGTCATGGAGAAAAAGCGAAGTCAAATAGTATTTACAACTTTTCTAATTTTAGATTTTTTCGCAGTGACGTTTATCAAACAACACTAAATACAATAGTACAGAGACAACAAAGATGTTTCAGACTTCTCCTCTACAATTCATTGTCAATTAGTGAAACAGTCTGTTCGTAGTCATAGTTTTGTGTGACAGCAGTGTCTCCAGGCACATGACCAAAAGGGTGAATCGTATCGATTGGCTATTTTTCTACACAAAGCGATGGAAAAGAGGTGAGAACACCTTTCCATAAAAATCTGTTGCATAGATGGCGTGCATATGTTCATGTCTGTCTGAATAGATGCATTAACATCCATGTAGTCAAATTAAAACATTTATTGCACCAGATTTTTGCATCAAACATTCATCAAACTAGTGTGAACAGGGCTTAAACCCCTTTTAAGATAAAAAAAATTGTCACCCAAAAAGTGCAGGGATGAATATTGTCATTTTTAAAACTTTGGGGGAATGATGATTTTTCACACAATTATGCATCTAGTTTTCATAAATGGTCCAGGAAGGCTGACAAATTTAGTTTTGAACATTAGAGTATGTCTACATGAATTCAGAAGCACGAGGAAAGTCATGTTTTCCATGAAATGTCCCCTTTAATATTATGTGTAGACAGATGTTCTGGTTGGAAGTCTGAGCTATCAAATACAACAGGAGGAATGGATGGCTTGTGCCTCGGGTGGATCTTCCACCCCCCTGATCTCCAGACCCACCTTCTTCTCCCTGACCCCTATCTCCAGCCCTACACATGCTCCACAGGCTTTTATTAGACTCTCCGGGGCTTTCCTGCTTCTAGTCTTTTAACTGCCTGGAATTCAGCCTTAATCCACCTAATGCTCAAACTGGGTTCAGCTCTAATTGTGCAAGATCATGCAAAGATCATTTAGAAAAGACGAAAAACACTATAAAAAAAAAACATGGGCCACTTTGAAAAGTCTTAAAGAAATAGATCATGCTCTTAATGCCAGAGTCCAGTATCAACAATTAAACAAATTTGATTAAATTGTGCTGATTTAAGTTCTCTTAGGAAATGATATTACTCTGTAAACATTTTCGAAGAAAGTCAAACCTGAATCCTTTTTAAAGTTTTTATCAAGATCAACTTTATATAGGTTTTTGATTTGCTCTTTTATAGTTTTTCCAACTTGTTGCTCACCATGAAAATAGCTAAAGCAGCTGGCATGGCTTTAAAAAAACTAATCAACTTAAAGGTATAGTTCCCCCAAAAATGAAAATTCTATCTTCAGTTATTCACCCTCACGTTTTTCCAAACCCATAAGACTTTTGTCCATCTTCGAAACAAAAATGTGATTTTTAATGCCATAAATAAGGCTATTTACTTGGTCAAGAACAAACCTCACTGGTTCTGACAGAAGCTCAAAACGTACTTGAAGACACAGAAGAACAAATTACTTTGGTTCTCGTGTATCGTGCAAGCACATTTCAGACTCTGTGTATGCGTGTTGATCAATACTTGTATGTGAATAAAACCCTACATTAATTTGGATTCATTAGTAAACTTTAATTGGTGGAAAAGGAAACCTTTCAGGTTTCCTTGAAATTATATTCATTTGTGTTTCAAAGATGAACGAAATACTAATGAGTGAGTAATTGATTTTAGGTTAACTATCCATAGAGCAGAGTTCTCAAAGAGTTATCTTTGTACTTTGTACCTCTCTTAATAAGCCCTCATTGATCTGACCACAACTTCAGCAGCCAAATTTGACAATACAAGTCAAATTTGATGAACACATGACCAGTGGCCATTCATGGATACTTGAAGGTCTGCTTAAGAAACCCAGCCCTGATCTTGACTTGCATACGGTGGGTCTTTAAAATCTGTATAGTATTTAATGATTGGCTTTGTTGGGCCCCAGGTGCCTCTCAGGTAATTACTTCCATCTTCATCAGCATTTTGCTCTGCGGTTCCTGGAAGAGCCATTCATACTTCAATACACTCCTTAACATCAAGGCTTCTGCTGCCATATGGCCAAACAAATCAGCATGGGATATTTTTTGTGTTCGGATTAGTGGAACAAATAGCACAGCCGTTTGCCACCTCAGTCTCGCTTTGTCATCGTTGTTTCTTAATTGTTGCTGAATTACATCAGTGAAGTGTGACACCCGTTAAGCGGTTTATGGGTGAAATAGGACCTTCGTTGCTGGTGGTGGCTTGGCTTGTCCACATGACGCTCATTACAGGGTAAACGTGGAGAGTAATCTGTTAAAGATGTCTTCACTTTTTCTCTTTTTCTTTGGCTGGGAACGGGTTCCTGCCCATCCTAGGGCCCAAACCTCAGAGAGATGTGAAGCTGAAGGAGGCAGCGTGAGCCAAGCATGCTGCTGCTGCTGCCTGTGAGACGTGGCTGTTTTCCACAGTCTTCTCATTTTTTTTTTCTTCTTTCTTGCCTGTCTCACTCCTACC